CCCCAAAACCCCAAAACCCCAAAACCCCAAAACCCCTGAACTTCCTAGTCCAGCTGAAAATAGATATAAGAAATTTAATGGAATTTAATAATTAATTTAAACCTTACTATTAAAACATGAGTGGATCAAGAAATATCTACAGAAGAGCATATTGCTCTAAATACAACGAAAATAGCTCCTTGTCATCCAACTTCGAGCCAAGACTTGACCAACAGGTCATTATCAGACCTGAAGTCAGTGAAACAACTAAGACCAAGCCAAGAGTCAAATGGGCCAAGAGCATCCTTGTCAAGGAGTTTTTGAAGGCTCCTACTACCAAAGAGATCAGAAATATTCAGTTCAAGGCAGCTACTGCCTCCAAGGTTATTGGAAAGAGCATTTTGAAGAGAAAGTCTTTGGAAGATAATCTTGCTGATTACGATACTGAATGTTCTAGCGTCAAAGAGGACCAGGCTCCTCTTCCCACTATGCCAGTGACTACTCAGAAGAGAGCTCTCAGAATGAGGATATCTCCAGAGAGAGAAACTTACTCTCTCATGGAGACTAGAACTCCTTCTATGAGAGACTTTTCTTCTCAGAAATACACTCATAGCAGATCTGGAATTCACAGTTCTGGAAGACAAAAAGTGAAATCTAGTATGTCCAAATTTGCTCAGAGGCTGGCAGAGAAGTATGACCTGACCTTGAGCTCCGAAATCTTGAGCAGGAGGAGAAATGCCTTCAGGCATCATGCCTAGACTGATGGCTAGGAGCCTTTTTCTTAATAATTTATAAGGAAAAGTAGTGCTGGTCACCACTTTTCTATAACATAATTTCCAAAAATCTTCTTCTTTGTTAGTGAGCAAATTTAGTCAAAGTAGTTAGATTAGGTGAATTTTCACCGGAATCGAGATAATGGTCTCTACTTAGAACCCAATATGCCTTGGTGACCAACACTAAGGAAGAGCTTGACATGTCTAACTATTGATGCTTAGGGATCACAGCTTGCTACCAGCAACCATGATCAGGAGCGATACAGAAATGGGTGCTCTATCGAAACTGAAAACAGATAAACAGCTATTCTCAAAATCAACTTTATCGAGAAAATTCTCAAATTAGAATAAAATGATCTGTCCAATTTTCTTCTTCCCTAAAGGGGTTTTGGGGTTTTGGGGTTTTGGGGGTTTGGGGTTTTGGGGTTTTGGGGTTTTGGGGTTTTGGGGTTTTGGGG